TTTTTTTCTTTGAGTAACCCTGTTGTTTGTTTTTTCCACAATAAGCTTTTAGTTTGCTATTTAGGGTTAATTTTCTACATTTTATTAAGTCACATGTAAATTTGGAGAACTGCTAAGGGGATTTTGTTACCATTTGGACGAAGTCACAACAGCTGGTTTCCCCCGATTAAAGTCTAACCTGTTGCATGATTTGGTGTGTTAACTACAGAGAAATAGGAGTGGTATCAAAATATTAATCTGCTCCTTTAAGCTGAAATGGTTACATGTATCTGTGCATGAGTGAAGGTAGAGGGGTGCAGAAGTCAAGGTTTTCTCTGCTCGTAGGTTCTAATTCAATAATGACTTGCTAATCACTCGACCTGTGGTTCTAATTAAAAGTGCCATTAAGTGCTCCTTGATTCTAATCAGGTGATGTTTGGAGAGGTTTGGGAGGAGGGAGGGGGGGGGTGTTCTCACTGTTCCATTTAACCTTGAATTATGTAAAAACAACCTAACATGGTCCAATTCAGTCATCATCAGTGTTGTTGTTGATAGAAATTATGTTTACATGTTGTTTTAGTGTGTTTTTTTTTTTTTTTTTTTTTTAATGTTATTAACCATGTTTATTGCTTTATTATTTAACTGGTTCATGTAATGTAAGTAATTCAATTGTATTAAGATTATGTATTAATATATATGTGTATAATTTTTTTTATTTCGTGTATGTGTGTGTGTCCAGGGGAAGGAGACGACTGAGGAGGAAGATGAAGTCGCTGTTGGGATGGAGAAAGGCTTTATGGACGAATTCTTTGAACAGGTTTGTTTCTCTCCCAATCCTGATCCTTCCTTCTCCTTTTTTGCTGTCAATCACTTTTTCTCCATTTACACATTATCAGGCTCATTGAAGGCTAATCACTTGTCAGTCCAGGTAATTTGCTACTCCACAACATGCCCGGGTGTTTTTCCTCTGCTGATATTGAATCTAATTGTGCTGTTTTTTTGGAGCGCTGTAATCAATCTCATGCCGTTTGTCTTCTCTGGGGTGCGTTTTTATGATTTATAACTGTTGATGTTGTTGCTGGTGTGGCATAAATTGTTCTGCATTTTATTTCATTTGAAAAAGCCTTTATTGATTCAACAAATTACACCAGTGCTCTACTCGCCCAACTCTGAATAACATTGATATTTTTCATGTATTTCTCTCAGTCTTTCCTCGTGGCACGACAGATGCTGAGCTTGTGTGTCAGCGGGGGATCGTTATTTGATCCCCGGCTACATTTCTAAGTTTGCTCACTTACCAAGCAATGAATAGTGCCGTAACAGCCCCCGAGACACAATATCAACCAAAATTAAAACTTTAAAAAGCAAAAACGCGTTCCATAAAAGTGATAAATGGATTTGCATGTCACTGAGTGAAATAAGTAGTTGATACCCAAGCAGATCTTGTTGGAGAAACCCTTATTAGCCGGCACAGCGGTAAGAAGTCACCAGGTTCATACACATCTCAAGAGGGATTTTGGCCCACTCCTCTTTAAAGAAACTCTCTCAGTCCGTTAGGTTTATTGCCAACCACTGCAGTGACAGCTTCGTACATGAGTGTTCTGACTGAGGAGAGGAGGTTCTCATACAAGATTTTATGGTGCATGGCCCTGTCCATTGGTCCCTCCTGTACTTTCCTGTACCCTTAGCACATAAACAGCCCTAAAGCATAATGTTTCCATCGCCGTGCTTGACTGTGGGGTTGGTGTCCTGTGGGTCAGCTGTCTCTTCCTCCAAACACTGTGGGTCAAGTTGATTCCAAAGAGCTCGATTTTGGTTTCATCTGACCATAGCACTTTCTCCCAGGCCTTCTCTGAGTCATTTAGATGTTTACTGACAAACTTCAGACGTCCTGTACATGTGCCTTCTTGAGCAGTGGGACCTTGGGGACACTGTGCTGTTCTTGGTGACTGGAAACCCAATTGTCTTCATTATGCAGTTTTTGGCTGATCCACCGCTTTTCTCACGATCATCCTCCTGTTATCTTTCCCCTGATGTCCTTTGACAGCTCTTTGATCGTGTCCAGGGTGGTAGAGAGGCTGGAATGCAAGAAACTGATTCTGTGGACAGACGCGCTTTATACAGATAGAAGTTGAGATCAGGAGTCTCTCAACAATACTGATTGTAGTCTTTAGATTATCGTCAATATTCTGTCTCTCTTCATTAAAATAAAATTACCATAGAAATTAGACTGTTCACTTCTTTGCACGTTTGCAAACTTACAAGTTCATCAGAGAATAAAATAACAATTTTCCACAGCGTAAATTTCTTTTCACATACATTTGGGAGCGTGTTCCCAGTGCGTGCCATGCACGTTTGCTGAGAGTACAAGCTGAACATCATTATAGCTCTCAGAGGGAGGGCCTCGTTTCAGCATGGCAGCAGTTGACATCTCCGCCCCAGAGAGAGGGAGACCCACTGGGAATCATCATTCATATGGTGCCAGGCCTTTTTTTACCCGGTGACGGCGTTCACTGTGAGAACAGTAGTGTAATTTTTTTTATTACTTGTGTTGTTGGCAGTTATATTTCTTGTATTATATGCGCCACTACTTTCATTTTCTAAAACACCTGGGATTTACCTTTGAAGTATTTAAATCACCATTGCAAATGCTGCTACAAAGGTGGGTCGGGCGAGGTTGAATGGCATTTAGCAGCATTTTTGAGTTGCGAAAAAGGTCTGGCAACCAGCACTTTGATACGTGAGCTTTCAAAGCGCCGTGAGACAACAAACACATCGCCAAAAAGCCGCAATCATCAGTGACTGAGCTGAAAGGAGATCAATCAAAACGTCTGTATAGATATTTAATATTTCAGCACAGACAAGCGTCAAAAAGGAGAAGAAGTAGCCTTCTTTACCGACGTGTGATGGAAATATTGTTTTTATCATCACAATATTGTTGTTAAGTCATCAAAAGCACTAATTCATGCAACTGGGCAGCATATAGATGTGAGTTGATTAAATGTGCTCAGTGACTGCCTGCGATTGTTTAACACACTCCACCTCTCCACCCACTTCCAGCATTAGCTTTTAGATTTCCCCATCAACCATAACTTCATGTAAATTTAAATGTGGTGAAGTGCACACCCTGCCAGATGTTTGAGCTTAGTAACAAGTTTGTGTTAAACTGGCTCAGTTTTGGAGAAACTCGGCAGCAGAGGCAATCAAAAAGCACCTTATAGTATGTAAATATTGATAATAAATGAGTAATTAGTCTGTGAATACCTCTTCTGACTGTGTGCGTATCCTCGGAAAATCTTTTCTTGCTTGGAGTCATCTGATCACAGGTCAATCAAACAGGCCACCTCAGCTGCTTCTGTCCACAGTCTTATTATTTTATTCATGAGCCAAAGAATGGGCAAGAGACGAAATGCAGATTAACCAGAAAATCGAGAGCTTGTCTACTACAGTGGTCTCTCAAATGGAGCAAAAATGTTAATGCGCACAGAGCGGGGAAGTTATGCTTGTAGTAGTTGGCTCGCCATCGGCTGCTTCATTCATTCTTCACCATTAGTGGCTCATTCATGTGCTTTGCGGCTATCAGATGACTACTAATGTGTTATCTTGTTACTGCAGCAGGTCCCTCAGGTGCTTTAACCACTTAAAGTTTTTAGTTTTTTCTTTTTTAAATTCAAGGTTGATCGGACTCTGGGAGCAAGAGAACCCACACAGGCACTGCACGGAAACCAGGAAAAGGGCTAAGGATAAACTGGAACCAGTGACCACCAGAATGAATGGTCTCTGGTGGCTCTGCCATGCTAATCTTTTCTGGCATGCACTTTTCTACCAGGAAATGATTACTTTAAATCATTCAGGATTTTGGAGGCAATTACCTTCATGCTGCGATGAAACATTCATGCCCCAATCGAGATGACGATGTCCCCATCAACAGGGCAAGAAGGGACACTCAATAATTTGACTGTGAAAATGTTGTTAATCATGTCTTCAAAACATTGAAGATTTTGGACTGACATGTCCAAGTGTTTGTACCCCTCTCCTCAAAGCAAAAAAGGAGGAAATGATTTTGGAAGAATGTCGTTCAGTCCCAGAATCAATGCTTAGTCACTGTGCAGACTCATGCTCAAAACGTATGCTCTCTTTTTTCCCTTGTTTTTCTGAGTCTGAGCTGTGGCCACCTTTTAAAACATTCCCTGTTATTAAGATCACAGGTGGCTAAGGTGGCAGTGGCAATATTTGGTGCACATGCTAGTATACGGTGAAGGGGAGGGGGGGGACACAATAGAAGAGCACCATCTAAAACAGGAAGAGAATCATCAATCGGCTTGTGACTCAGCAATCTGGCACATCTGGTACAGCTGTCCATTTTGTTTAAAAGCTCGTCTAATGCTCCGATGTTGCCTATCCAGGGTGTCATGGCACGGGAGGCTGGGCACTAGCGAAGCAGGTAGATGGCCCATCACAGTAAGAGCTTTTCTGTTCAGTTCAGAATCACCAGTTTTTGTTTTTTGTTGTTGTTGATTTTTTTGTTGTGGAAAGCGAAGCACTGGACAAAGCCCACACAGGCCCAGGGAGATCATGGATTTGAACCAACAACCTTCATTGTGTAAAATGACCGTGCTAAGCAGTGCACCAATGTGCTGCCCCGTTGAATGCAAAATATGAAACAATTTTGGTATCTCTCAGCTACGCCTGCACGTCAGCAACCAGAACAACACATTTTTATATTTAAAAAGAAAGTGCAGAGAGTTTTCTATTCTTTCTTTCTTCAGCTGCGAAGTCTAAAACTCCTGAATCTGAGGTTTGACAGTCAGTACAGAGGTAATCCAGGGTATAGCTTCAAAAAGTCTGTAATTATGGGATGTTTTAGCTCCGGAGGATCGCTGCAGGCTGCAGCCATTTCTCTCACATTTGTCTCATTTATGTTCTTCTGCTGCTTCCCGCTTCTGACAGACTGTCTGTATCCCTGATATAGAAACACAGCCCTCTTTATCTGTCTGTAATTTTCAGTCTGTCTCAAGTGAAGAAATGAAGGAGGCAGAGTTTGACTGAAACATGTAGACGGAGGGATCCACAGAGAGCGGTTTGACACTGAGCTAAAAGCTTCAGGGAGTGTGAGAGTGGCAGAGTCGTTAGGAGAAGTTAGACAGCAAGACCAGAGAGGAAGAACGGGTATCAATATGTGACAGAGAGATGTAGATGGTGAGGCAAACTGAAGAAGAGGAGGCGCGGTCAGGCTTCCACCCCGACTGGGTGTGTTAATTAAGCTTTCACTAGTGATCTGCAGGGATAACGGACAGTGGAAATACCACTGTGACCTTGAGTCACACTGTAAACACTGAGTGTGCATATTGATTTTATGTTGTGGAATTTTTGTAAAGATGAATGTAGCCACCTATGGTCATGCTTAGTATCTATCTGTGTGCATGCCTGTTTATGTGGAGATTAATGCACATAATACCTATAGGGGTAAGAGTTAAGGCTGCATTTGTCAAACCAACAGTCGGTTTTAGCAGCACATGGCTGAATATCTTCCTGATGCTGTCTAAACTATGCGATTATGTAACAGTCACTGAAACTGCCCACCCCACATGTCACACAATGAAAATTGTAACTAAAAGAATTGCTTATATTTCCGTAATCTTTATTAGTGCTGTTGAAATAGTGGCTACACAGAGAAGTTCTAATTAGTTTAATTAGAAAATTAATTTAGGATCTGCTTCATGTGATGTGGCTCGTCTTTGAAGCTCATTAGCCCGGACATGCGTTCACAATGAAGTGATTAAAAAGCTCTATTTTTTACATTTAAGTAGCGTTTTTACTTTGTTGATTATGAAAATCTGCAGTGCAGTTTTTCTCTGCAAGCTTTTTCTGATACGTGCTTTTATAAATATTTACAGTACTGTGCAAAAGTCTTGAGCCACTCCTTTCTTTATATTTTGCTTCCGAGGAGATGGGTTTGCCTTGAAGAATAGTTTTCAGGCTTTCTGAAGTTTTTCAAGGTCTTTCTTTAGACATCATCTGCTCCTCACTTATTTTCAGTCAAGTCCTTGTATCTGATCATCTTCATAGGAATATTTTTTTTCTTTCTTTTTTTGGTTGTATGCCAAACCACAACGGAAGTCTCAAGGTATGAAGCAGTGTTGTGTATAAAAATAACTTGGGAAAGAGCCAATTTTAAATGATATCTTTATACTCTTTGTTACTAGCAGCCTGTACAATAATGCATCACTTGTTCTCATTTGTTTAGTTGAATCTATGAAAAATACAAAAGGCAAATGTTTGACAGTGTTTTTTTTTCTTCGTTTTTTTTCCCCCCAGTAAATTTCAGAAATACTTTATTAATCCGAAGGATTAATAAAGGATTATATCCAAAAGAGCAGTTACTGAAAACTTCTTTTCCACATTGTGTGGCTTTTAGAAAACTGAGGTCTATTTGTGTCCAGGAGGTCATGAGAGAAATGCAACAGTGAGCGCTTACAGCCATCTGCAAAACACGGTGGAGGCTCCGTCCTGGTTGTCTCAAGATGAACTTTGGAATGACTTTTAGGAAGGTGAAGAGCTACTTGATTATGAGTAAGCTCTTATGTAATACAACTCAAGTTTAGCTGAATTGTTTTGCTTTATGTTCTGTGTTTCCATATATGTTTGCATGCTTCTCCTATTTCTCATTCTCCTAAAGAAACAGAGACGTGATGGGTGGCTCAAGACTTGCACAGTATGTGAATCATTAGACTCCTGCTATAAAGTAATCATTTCTTATGTATTCACAACAGCAAGTGTGTGAATACATTTGTATGCAATATGTTGAGGCTTTAATCTGCTTTGGCGTTGTCTGAGTATCAGATCGTTTAGATGGATGCAAACACTACTCTAAGACGCAACTAAATCTAAATCGTGATGCTGTAGAAAGAGTTTAATTTGAAGATCTAAAGATGGATAGTAGATGAGGCTGATATTTGAAATTATGAACAATTTTGAAAAAAATGTTTAAAATATGGATAATTCTAAGAAAATAAGTGCCTAACAGTGAGCTAAAAAAGAAAAGGCAGAGAAAAGATCGTCATCTTCAGCTATTTGTCAAAAAATGTCTTACTTTTCTTACATTGTGCAACAGAGCCCATTTATGCTTCACCTGATGATGCAAGAATGAAGTGAGCCAAAGCAAGAAAGACTCGCTGTGGCCTCGAGGCTCCTAATCATTCTCCTTACCAGATAAAAATGAGACTTTGACACTAGAATAACTTAAAACTAATGAATTACTGCAATATCCAGCTGGGATTAAGGCTGCTTAACATGACATTTGTACAAGACACAGAGAATAATAACAAATGTCTTCGGTCAAAAAGTCACAAGCAGTTGCAAAACTACCCTCCAAGTACGTGTATCAGTTTGTTTTTACACATCTGTGGGCTTTTTAGCCTCGTCTGATCATGTTTTTCTCTCATACCAATAAAATTTATCTGATGCCTTATAAGAGCAGAGAGATGTGCCATGACTCACTAACGTGTGATTTCTAAACCGAGGCAGCTTAAAGTGGTTTCATCTTCTACTCTCTTTGGTGTCCTTCCTTTCTCCAGTCCTTTCTCACTCTCTTACATCTTTAACTTTTGCTCTCTTCCCCCCATGATGTTTAACTCTGCATTCACCTAAGCGACCCACCCACAGTGTCTGGTCTCTCTCCCAGTTGTCTTTCAGAGCCAATTATGTTATTAAAAAACAGAGCTAATCAGAAGCCAATTAAAGAGATAACTGGCGAATAATCACCGGGGCTGAGAAGAGGAAATCTCAGGATTGTAGTAGAGCTGTGAAAACTGACAGAGGAAAAGTGGAATTAGAGTTAAAAAGCCAAGCCAGAGAGATGTGCAAGGAAATGACTGGAATGACATGGGGATAGGCTGGCCTGTAGCAGAGCAGGTGTAAAGGAGGAGAAAATGATCAGCAGTTTGATGGACTGAGATGAAAGTAGAGATTGATGAAGTCACTGACAGATGTGACCCGCTGATTTTCCAGCTGTCACCGAGAGCCAGAGACGGCACAGCTGGGCTGCCAGGCAGCAGGAAGTATAGGCGAGAGGTGAAGGGGTAGAATATCAGTCCTGAACCTCAGTGGACTTCAAAGGAGGAGATGAATATGATGCACTTCAAGGATCAGTTTTTGTCAGTGTGCTTAATGACTGAGTTAAAGGCATTCATTTCCATTTATTTGCTGTCGATAGCACTCGTGTATCTGTAAGATACGTAGGAGGCAGCAGCGGGTTACTGGGAAAACTTTTCCTAGCTCACTTATCAGTCTGTAGTACAAACAAGCCAGATCTTGAAATCTGTGTCAGAATTAAACAGGGTATAAATAAGAGAGTTGTCCAGTTTTGCATGGAGAAATGATGACTGAGGCTGGATGAACTTGGAAAAACTTTCATATTTGTGGTCTTCACAGCATCTGCCAGGTGAGTCACAGGTGCTTCCTGCTACAGAGCAGATCTAAAGCACCTTTTTGTGTCTCGCTCTCTTGACAGGTGGAAGAGATCCGGGGTTTTATCGAATCGCTGGCAGAGAAAGTTGAAGAGGTGAAGAGGAAGCACAGCGCCATCCTTGCCTCACCCAACCCAGATGAGAGTAAGGCTCTTTTGTCTGTTCTGTTTTCTAGTGTTTAGCTCTTTAAAATGACATACTCAGGGTAACTCTTGCCTCAGAAATACTGTACTTTTGTTCTGATGGGACTCGACTGCCTTAGGAGATTCCATTCAGGTGAAACTATAACTTATATTCTTTTAACCAAAGTCCTAATTTATCCAGAATTTGAATGGGTTTTTATTAATCATATCCACAGTTTTATTTCTCACTTGTTAAACTTGTTACCTACCCCCCAAAATCATAAAATAAGAGATGCCACCACTAGAGCAAGTTTAATGATTTTAAAAAAGGGGCCTACAACAAAGTAAAAGGATAAGGCCACGTGCAGTACCAACCACACTGATGTAAACTAACATTAATGGGGAAATAACCATCAAAAGAAATGGAGAATATACCAGTGCAGAGACACACGATACGCCGGACCACAGGGCTAGGTAGAGACCGCTTGTGCAAAACCATCCTCAGATCTCAATCTAGCTTTGAAGGCTTAAAAACAACCTTAACAAATCACTTAATGTTGTGTTGGTTTTAATTTCTTTCTTTACCCATCGATTTGTTGCTCCCTTATTTCCAGAAAGAGTGATTCGCCATGACTTGATTTCTTGATTCATTCAGCCGAGGTTACCACGACTGACCCCTTGTTTTCACCTATCGCTGTTTAATGATAACATCAATGTTTAATACTGCAGTGATTCAGTAATGAGTCAGAGAAGCTTTTAATGGAAAGGAGAAAGAGAAGAAAGCCAAAAGTCACAGTTTGCCGTCTAATGTACGACGGCAGCCAAAAGCAGGATAATCGTCGCAGAATCCGCTGAACAAAGAGAAGAAAAATGACTGTGTCGTTTAAAAGAAATTGAGGAAATAAAGAACAATTTGTCAGAAAGAGCAAGAAAGGCTGTGTGCAGACTGGAGACTTCAGTAGAAGTCAGAGGACCTTGAAAATGTTTCAAAGCGCTCCACCAATCCGTCCTCTCTCTGCTTTTGGGGCATTTATACCCTCACGGTGAAATCTCTTACCTTCCCGTTTCTCCATTTTTCTGTTTTTCTGCTTTCTGTCTCCATCACTCTTTACTGCTACATTTTCCTTTTCAGCTGCTGTTAACCATATTTCATACTTCCCAGTTTCTCTGCTGTCTCTTTGCCCATTTGTGCCCCTCTTTACATTGCTTTTGTTCAGTCTGTGCTGGATACTCAATCCATCGTTCCTGCTGTCTTTTTGCTCCACAATCTCTCATCACCTCTTCTTCTCTCATTTTATATCAGGGCATTGATCTTGACCCTTGTTCACACAAGGGGGATGTTACTCATGCTAGTGACACCTCCTACTAATAATTTTCCTTTCCTCCTCACTTATTCCCTGCCTCCCCTCCCGCCTGCAAATATATCTATGTGCTTGCAGCGGCAGGCATCAGATGGGCCCTTTATCTATCCTGAGCGTGCAGATGGACGCACTGAGCGGAGCAGCAATGAGGAAAGGTGTTGCATTTATGATACAAATTCTCCTGCAGGTCATTTCCTGACTGAAATAACTGTGAATGAAATCAGAGCCGTGTGTGCGCCTTTGTGATAAATGCTAAAGAACCGTACATCAATCAACGATTGATGTAAATGTCAGGGTTGTTCATTACAGGTAGGTCATTATGTTCTGTACTTTCTACCCGTTGCACTGCGACCACTGACGGCGACTGAAATAACCTGGAACGTACATTCAGGACGCTCATTCGTTTGCTGAGTAGATATTTATACCCTGTGTGTTTTTGTGGATATATTTACATATTACTACTTTGGTTTAGCAGTAATTTCCCTACATCAGTGTTTCTTGTTACATTTCCTTACATTATCTGTTTCTGGGACCTGAGGCATGACTAAATTTAATAAGTAGTATGATAAGTAGGATGTTGAAGACTGATCTGCTAGGCGTGAGAAAAAAGAGGAAGACCACAGAGGTTCATGCATATAGTGAAGGAAGGTTGCTGTGGCAAATGTGGATGCTTTGCATAGGGTGAGATGTGGGCAGATGATCCACTGTGGCCACCCCTAAAGGGAACAGCTGATAGAAGAAGAAGAAGGAGCACTTAATCTCTTTAAACAGGCACTGGATAAAAATTCTCCACAAAGGAAGGAAAACATTTATGAAATTCAATTTCAAAACCACCTTCTGACAACAGTTTAGTGTTGGAGCAGCTTTTTAAATTAATCTGCATTCATAAAAATGCCCGTCACGTTAAACATGATGTGCTGGCGTGGATATCTGCTGGCTCAGAGTTTTGGACATTGTCCCTGGCTAAGTCTTCATATAATAGCTGGTGGGATCCCTAAATGATTAGCACTAAAATAACTAATAATATTTCCATGATAATAGATGCTAATCTTATGATGTGAAATGGATTTGTTTTGCCATTTCATGATCAGAAGCCACAGTCTTAGTAAAACTGAAACGTTGACCTAATGAGAAACTAATCTCAAAACAGAGATTCAATTCATCCTGGTGGGAACACAATTGTTTTATCCAATTTCACCGTTTATCCGTGCATTATAAGGTCTGCATGTGTATATGTGTGTGAGTGTGGTTGTGCGTGTCTGTGTGAAAACATCATTTTTTTTGTTTTGGCTGCTGTGGTTCTAATTGTGATTTTGACATTTCCCTGCTTCTGCTGGAGTGTGTCATCAAAAGTAATTGCACAGTGGCATTTCATTGTGAAATCTAATGCATGCAAGACCTACGCTCATTCACTGCTGTATCGAAAATGGAAAGTCTTGCTGATATTCACTGATTTTTTTTTTCCTCCCCCGTGGTAAGATGAATCAGTTCTGCTTCTGAAGGTTCCTCCCATCAAATCAAACTTTACCTCCTTGCTGATGCATAATAGGCGAGTCTGTCCTTTTCTTATCCTCTTCTAGCACAAGTATTTTGCTACTCATCCAAGAATCTCGACTCTTAACTTCTGTTGCTTTTCCCCCCACATAAAAACGGGTGTTTACAGAGAAAATATCCAGTGAGCGGCAGTTCTGTGTGAAAATATCTTGTTGATGTCAGAGGAGAATGGCCAGAGTGTTTCAAGCTGACAGAAAGGTAGCAGTAACTCAAATAACCACCTGTTACAACCCAGGCATGCAGGAAAACATCTCTGAATGCAGAAGATGTCAAATCTTGAGGCAGATGGGCTACAGTATCAGAAGAATACACTGGGTGCCACTAGTGACACCTAAAAACAGGAAATTGAGGCAACAATTTGCACGGGCTCATCAAAAATGGAAAAATGTTGCCTGGTCTTTTGTGTCTCAGGTTCTCCAGCAACATTCAGATGGTTGGATTAGAATTTAAACGGCATGAAAGCATAAATCCATTGTGCCCTATGTCAACGGTTCTGGCCCTGTAGTGGTGTAACGGTGTGGGGATATTGTCTTTAGTACCAGTTGAGCAGTGTTTAAACTCTACTAGTGTCCAATCATTGCTGCTACCATGTCCATCACTTGGTGACCACAGTGAACCCATCATCTGATCACTGCTTCCAACAGAATAACACACCATGTCGCAAAGGTTAAACAATCTAAAATTGGTTTCTTGGACATGATAATGACTTCACTGCGCTGCACTCAGATGG